TGGTTTGCGGGAAATGGAGAACAATGGCGGATTTCCACAGCTGTGAAGAACTCCTTGTGACCAAATAAGATTGTAAAGGCGTAATAGGACTGCAAGGACTGACTGATGTAAATGTTGTTAGCATACGAATATGAATGTCGTCGGGCCCAGCTGCCGATGATCGACAAGCTGAGAGTGTTGCCTCCAGTTCTTGAAGTGTAAAAGGCACATTATACTTTTTCTTCTCTGAGAGAAGAAAAGTTCAAGGGTGCTAACTCTCTGGCAGACTTTGAGGAAAGAAATGAGGGGCATAGATGGAGTCCCTGAGAAATATGGACCAGATGATTCCCAAATTTTCATTGGCAACATCTAGGGGGGTTTGCTATATCAACACGGCAACCCGCAGAACAGAGCCGGGTCAGGAGAATATTTACCACTCAGTTTTCGTACTCTTTTCCAGACTGCACTCACAGAGGAAGCAGAGGTGATGGTGGAGACATAATCTCGCCAGCAGTGCGTTTAGCATCACGGATTACACGGCGAGCGATCGCACGTTTCTGTTTAAAATCAAGGAGTCGCTCTGTGGTTCTATTGTACCGGGTACCTGCCCCATGCAGCGCGTTTCAAACGTACTGCACAAAAAACAAGCAGGAGACCACCAAGGCACGCATTTCTGAGAATGCCTCCCCGAAGTTTGGGGGTATAGAATGAGAAGCTGCGGTGGAAAACGGAGGACGAGAAGAGGTGTAAAAGCTCATCGATGGAGGACGAAGAAGGAACCTCTTTAAAAACATTTAGGTGTGAGTAAAGGTTCCAATTTGCCCAATTAAATTGCCACGTGGGGTGCGAAGAGGTGGCGAATATGAAGGGGAAGTAAGAATGATTGGGAAATGATCACTCTCATGTAAGTCCGGGAGAACGACCAAGTGAAGTCTAATGCGGCGGAGGAAGAGCAGACTGAGAGATCGTTTGCAAGAGAGAGTATGAGTCCGGGATCAAAATTGTGTGAGTACCTGTATTTAAAACATGGAGGGGGTGGGTGGCAAGAAAAGCCTCTAACTGAATTCCACGGAATCACAGTGAGACCCCCCCCCCCAGAGGAAATGGTGGGCATTAAAATCACCAAGTAACAGAATCGGTTGGCGGTAATGACGAAACAAGGAAGGCAAATCCGGAATGGGATAATGCCCGAGAAGGAGAGAGATATAAAGAACAGAGTGTATACCACCTATGTAAGTGGATACGGCTGCTGTGTAAAGCAGCGAAGTATGAACAAATAGCTGATGGTACGGAATATCATTTGCATAGAAGAAGGGCACTTTCATTAAAGGTCCATCAGGAAAAGGATCTGAAGAATACAATAAGTTATAGCCTGAGATGTGAGAAATACAGCAGAGTGTAATTTTTGGGTTTTCCTGTAACAAACCCCAAACAGGGGCAAACTGGGAGAGTAACATCTGAAGCTCACCCCGTTACCCCTGAGGCCGCGTATATTCCACTTTTAAATAGGCCATGATTGGCAATTTTTAAAGATACTTGAAATCCGCAGGTAAGGGTTCCTACGGACTAGAGGGGTTAGAAAAGTCCACAAAGCGGAGGCAGTGGAAAACGTTTCAAGCAGCGAAGGAACGGGGCGCTGTGAAGAAAGGAGTTGTGCAGATGGAGCAGAGGAGAGAGAAAGAGCGGAAGGTGGATCAGTGTCCATTGATGGTTTGGTCTCTGCAATATATTCAGAGATTGCTTCAAGTGTTTTCGGAATTCAGAGACGTCGTATGGGAGACAATATTGGGAATGGTAGGGGGAGGATGAGTAAAGATTGGAACTGTATTGGACTGTACCAAGGTAGGGGGGGGGCGAAAGGGTGGAGGGAACTGGAGAAGCGTGGCAGGGGACAGAAGAAGGCAGGAACCTGGGGGGTGGCAGAAGAGGAAGAAACTTGGGAGGGAAACAGGGGAGGAAGGTTATAGTACGAGGAGGAGGGTGAACCTCTACACTTGAACTGAGCTAGTGAGAGGGGAAGAACCAGGGACAGAGACAGGGAGGGGTTTAAAAAGAGGAGGTGGAAGATGGGTAGGAGGTGTTAACGGACCTTTTTTGACTTTTTAGAAGTAGAGGGGACGATTGGGAGGAGGTTTTCCCTACGAGGTCTCGTCGATACTGAGGCTTGTGAGAGAGAACTCCGGGAAGAAGGAGATTAGACTGAGGCGTTGAAGTAGGGACGTCTGAGCCGAGGACAGCAAAAGGATTAGATACAAAGGGGTGATTATGGGAGAGGTAACCACAGAGGTGGGTGTAGAAGATGGGATACCAGATGTGAGGGGAAAGTTTTGAAACACGGGAATAAGAAAACACGTGGGGGTTTTCCCTTGGAGGCGGGGAGATGAGAAACTGCCATGGGATAAGGGAGACCTTCTGTCTCTTTTAGGTAACGGATTTCCCGCTCGTTTAAATAGACTTGACAACGGCGAGAGTACGAAGGGGTGAGCCTCATGACAGTTAAGGCAAGAGGGAGATCGATTTGCAAGACGTATTTGAATGGTCATCGGCACCACAGACAGGGCATTCGGCGATAGATCTGCAATATTTCGCTGGATGGCCAAATCGCCAGCAATTTCTACACTGTTGTGGTGTAGGGATCACCTTTCGAAATTGTAACCGATGTCCTGCTATATAAACTGAGGATGGGAGTTCTCGGCTGTCAAAAGTTAAACGAGCCACATTGCTAGGGTATCATCTTCCCGCGGGCAGAAGAACGTAAGTGTCTACCTTGAGGATGTGAGATCTTGGAGTTCCAGCTGTTCAGAATGTCAGTGCCACATGTCTGGAAATTTGTTGAACTATGGTATGGGGCAGAATGACAGTACCACTACAAGAATTTAGGGAATGATGTTTTTCAAGAGTGACAAGAACAGTATCGATATGGGAAATACGAGAGAGCTCACGAGCCTGGTAGCATTCTGTACGGTAATGATTTCGCGTACCGCTCTTAAGACATGAAAAGAAAAATTTTTTAAACCCAAAATGGTGTAGGAGTGCCTTGCAAAATTTGGTCAGAAAGATAGGCAAGAGGAAGCGGTCGTAAAGGAAAAATTTAGTCCCTTGTTCAGTCAAATGAGCGTGGAAAAGGGGTGAGGCTGCGTCGTTTCTGAAAGAACGGAAAGGGGGGGAAGTTATCAGCAGGTAATTTTCGTTGGGTTTAGGCGTGGACCCAAATTGGGCCGACGTGGGGAAGGGTCGGCAATTTTAAAATTGCCACCGTAGAGGGGAGGCCGGAAACATAGTCAAGGGGGAGCGAAGGGCCGATAAATCGAGGAGTCAGTCGAGGCCCAGTCCCGAAGCGGGTGAGGAAACAGCACCGGCAAAAGGGACGAAGCATGGGAATGTCTGAAGAGTGGTCCAAAAAACAGGCGGGGTCAGAACGGGATGCGGTATCAAAAGGGGGGCCCGGGGTATTAGGAAAGGCAGGGCTGCCATGGGTTTGGTTTCTTCTTCTTTTTGTTTTTAAGAAAAAAAAAAGAAAAAAGGAAAAAAAAAAAAAAAAAAAAAAGAATAAAAAAAGGGGGGGGGCCGGGGGGGATAGTTCCCAGGAGGAAAGAAAAGGGCCAGAAATCTCCCTCCCGCCCAAAGGGCCTCAGCACCGCAAGTAGCGCAGATGCAGCATGGAACCCCTTCCATCCCCTACCCATCATGCTTAAATAAAAAATTGGGAAGCAACCTCACATCGCCGGGGCTACCCCGGTGGACAAAAAAAGAGGGCGGCCCCGGGTATCCGCCCAAAGCAACCTCTTCGGCCACCCCCCCCCGGAATCCGAAAGGGGCTTCCCGGTTTCACCTTTTGCCCGAAAGACACCCAAAGCTACTCCCGGGATGCCGGAGAGGGATCGGGACATCCCCAGGCGATCCAGATTCCACGGCAAACTACGCCACCGCTAAGAACCTCAACGGAATGGGATGGACCCCGGTATCCTTTCCCCTATCTAGGAACTAGCGCGCCTGTGGGAGAAATCTCAAAGGACAAAAAGAGGAAGGGCAAAAGGGAGGGGTGGGGAGGAGGAGGAGGAAAGGAAAAAGGGGAGGATGGGGAGGATGGGATAGGGGAGGGGAGATTGGGGGGTAATTAGGTTCGGTCTGAGGAAGAAGACCGACAGGTCTAATTCCTCAGACCAAGAGCCTCTTCACCATGCCAAGGAGCCCCCCTTGAAGAGGTATCTATGTTCAGCCATCAGTAAAATGGGTACCTGGGTGTTAGTCGACTGGTGTGGGTCGCATCCTGGGACAAAACTGACCTAATTTGCCCGAAATGCTTAGCATAACAAGCGGCTTTCTGTATAGTAGTATGTCATTGATGTCACCTATAGTCTGTATACCACGTACATGTACTTATAGAAATTAAGATATTATTATTATTATTATTATTATTATTATTATTATTATTATTATTATTATTATTATTATTATATTGTAATGACTTTCTGGGAGAGGCGAGTACCCAGAAAGGCGACTGTAACATTTTTGAAGAGACAGGTTTCCCTTGTGTTAAACGTTCATCTTTTTTCTCCATTGAAGAACAAATAGTAAAAACGGAATATGACACCAACAATTTGTCGATGTCATAAATCAAGTTCTTAAAAATATCAAGAACATTCAAAGTGACTTGCATCAATTTACACAAAATAACTTAAATTTTCATGAAACATTTGCTGCACTTGCTTTAAGTTACAAAAAAGAGCAACATTTAACACATGCCATTTTTAGAAGGCCCATGGAGAAAAATAGCTAGCCTGGACTTTTACGACTCACTCGCCATAGGTTCAAACTCCTCCCGTACCGTGGATTGTTTACTAAGTAGCTAATTTATTCGATGAGCGGGTTATGAAATTTATTTTGGTAAATAAAGTCGACTGGAGATTAAATCTTACTATCTAATTAAATGGTTCCGTGTTTTAAATATTTCGACAACAAAGTCATTTCCATTGTTTGCTTAGTCTATAACACCAGCGCTCTCTTGTTTTACTTTCCAGTCACTCCACAGTCACCGACAACAAGAAACCCACCACTCACAACCACAACTGTACCATCACACTCAACTTCTACTGAAGAACCCTCTACCACTATAGTTGACGCTTCCACCAGCTCTTCTGTACCTGGTACCACTAGTTCACTGCCACCTACAGAAACTCCTGGACCAGGAGCCTGTTCCTGCAACTTCACTACAAATATTTCTGACATCTTGAAGAATATTCCAAAAACAATCTGTCCATTTCTTGCACCAGTTTATCACCCGCTTTTCAGCTGTGGTTCTGGATGTTCAGAATATGATCTACACGTTGACATCTCGTCAGGAAGCTTGACTACAGTGAGCCAACAAATAGCACAACTTGGAGATGCCACAGACTTATGTTTCTTTGAAAGTTACAGCATCATCTCTGACAAGGAGGCTAAAATAAAGACTGATAACATTCTCGTTAACCGGAGTAGTTCTATTAAAGCGATTAATACCTGCCTAGCCATTCCACAGTTACTTCATCCACCTCTCCATTGTCCAATTATTGCTCCAGTGGATTTAGAGATAAACTGTGCACCTCAGAACATTATTCTAAAGGCATCAGGTTATAACCTTACTTATGTCCAGGTGAAAGATGACGGTAACCTGAATAAAACGGTTCAGTGGAAGGGAAATTCATACACCTTAATAAAAGAAACGAGAAGTACAACTGAAGAGCAAGATCATGTAGCACCATTCATTAGTAGATTAAACAGGGATTCGATGTCTAGTAAAATTAAATGTGATTTAGAAACTAAGTTTCCTAAAGAACTGCAGAATCTACCAAAGGAAGTTTGTAAATTCTTGGCTCCCTCTTTACATGAATTATTCAATTGTTTTTCTGATATACAATGCCCAGAGTATGTACTTTTCTTAGACTTGTTAGACAACACTATCACTAAAGTGCCTCTGAAAACCCCTACTGAACTTAAACCTCCCTGTCTGTCCTGTGACTTAGGGGAAACAAATATCAACATTTCCTTGCTTAAGGCAGTCGACACTCTTGGCAAATCTTCAGTAAATGTGAGAAGCCTGTGCAGGTTGTTGCCGTCGTCATGGCTTGGTGAAGTTCCTAGCTGTAACTCACCACCTGTTTATGACACCATCTCTCAAGATACCTGTTTACCCATCGTTATTGTTATCCTTCTTAACAAAACTGCCTTTACGTACATATCTCACCCTGAGGACAAAACAAATTCAGGAACACCCACAATTAAATGGCTAGAAAAACCATATTTTTTAGAAAAAGTCACCAAAAACAAAAATATGAGAGAAATATTGGAGGATGAATATGTGTTAGATTTTGAGGCTTATAGTTCAAGGAAAAGCTTGTCTAATGAACTGAGTATAACACCACATAAAAATAGCAGAACTTTATCCTTACATTTTAATGACAGTGACAAGGTCATGAAAGACCCTGAACCTTCGGCTGGTAACATCACTTCTCTAGATATTTCACAGAGATCTGGTGGAGGCGATGTTGTTGAAGAAGCATTGCGGGAGTATGTGGGACAGAATGATGTGTTTCTTCCTCTTAATGCTCCGAAGGTAAGTTAGTGTTATTAACAGCTTCTGTTGATATTATTTATTCAATAATAATGTACATCATAAAATTCATAAGTGCAACATTTGTGCAGGTAGGAGTAGCAATGTATATATTTTTCAATTGTTTACTACACAATTTGTGAAGTAAAATAATATCAGTTTATGTATCTAACCTATCTTCTTCCTTTCTCTTTCATCTCCATAAACTGGTGAAGGCCATGCCACGAACGAAGGTAGGACCATGTAGCGTCACATGTGGCCAAGGAATGCATTACGTTCACATGGAATGCGTCGATGTCACAACAGGAGAGTTGTTAAACGAGGACTCCTGCCAAGGTTACATCATTCCTAAAGAGCAGCTGGAACCCTGCCACATGCCGCCTTGTCAGGATCCCAGGTGTGAACAGAAGACAAACTGAGTAATATGACTGAGGATACACCGGTCATATATGACTCCCTAGTTAGCTAAAGAGTATCTGATTTGTTACTAATTATGTTAGTCTGATCTTTGTTCCCTGGTATTCTCTACAGCAGCGACAATCGAAATCATTCATATGTGTTAATCATATGTGTTACATAGAAACACATATGGTCTCCTGGGTTGGGATGGAATTGAACTTGCAAACAAAACGATGACATGTACAGCGGCATCATTATTTAGAGGAAATAATTATATCAATGTTGAGCATCGATAAAGTGAAGGTTAGTTTTCAGGAAATTCTCACTAAGATTATCTTAGTTAAATAGGTTACATCTTTTAGGAGACAAGTATTACCCAGCTACACTACCTCTGTTTCAGCAAGTGATGTTACACTTCACCTGACCTTATGTGTAGCTTGTGATGCTTCCCTACTGTACATGCTGGAGTTCTAATAAATCTCTGTTTTGTGACTGAGAAAACCAACAGTGACAAAACGTCTCCTTAAATAAAATGACCTAAAATTTCTTACATTAATTTATTCCAAATATTTTCGAAATTATTATTTCTTTACCCGTACATAATAATTTCCATTTGATCACAGTAAAATCCTTCTCATTTTTATTCTTCTGGTAATTTTATCATTGAAAATTAATATTTTTTCTCATTTTAGAGATATTAAGAAGAAATGAGCAAAAACAGATGAAAATAAATTTAGTATCGATCATTTTATTTATTAAAATGTTGAATCATTATCCTGGTTGTTTAATAACTCTTGTAAGGATAACTTAATAATGTTACGTAAGTCTGGATTTAATACTGAAAAATGCAACGTGAAATGCCTGAAACTAAATAATGTTTGTGACTAAAAACAGACTTTCGAAATTAATATTTAACGGATGATTAATCTTTTATGCTTAAAAAGAATTAAGAGAAAATTAGTGAGTAAATTTTACTAAATATTTTTCTTAAATCTCAGGTGGAGTGTTGGTGAATGGGGGAGTTGCAGCGAGCGGTGTGGTGCTGGAGTACAGTTTCGACGTGTTGACTGCATCATACCCATCAATCAGAGAGAGATGGAACTCAAATATTACAATAGTGACTTGCGTATTGAACCTCAGCTGATAGTAAAGAAACAAGAGTGTGGGGAAGAGGCGCCTCTTCATGTGAGGAACTGTGAAGGAAACTGTCAACCTGGTCAGTTGGAAGGTTTTTATCTTATAACATTATACCATATATAAAGTTCTCGCCCTAAATACCCAAAAGTGTTAAAATATTATATGCATAATTTACTGATGTTCATTATTTGAAGAGAAATAGGTCACATCAAGTACAAAACAAAAATTATATAAATGTTATATAGTATATAAATGTTGTGCCGATTATGTAAAACTTTCCATTTTGGCTTAAATACCAACGCTCTTCTTGCCGAATAAGGCAAGCGAAAATTTGTGTATGCAATAATTTCGCAAAACCCATTCTGAACCTAACGAAAACAAAATATTTCGTTGTGTTTGTTTAGTATTAAATTATTGTAAACTTATCTAGAATATATGTATAGTTGGATTAGCCTAAATTAAATTGCACTTGTTATAATAAGGCTAGGTAAGTTTTTTTTTTTTTTTGGGGGGGGGGACAAAATTATTAGTTTTTACATTAACATAAATAAAAAAAAAACATATATTTTAACGTACAAGAGAAAACTTTAGAAAGTACTTAATTTTAAATGAGCTCTTGATAACTGACCAGTTTTACCTATTCGGCACGACATATATATATATATATATATATATATATTATATATATATATATATATATTATTATATAATCTATATGTATATTATATTTATATATATTAAATCAATGCACTTAGAAACCTTACCTAACCTAATCTAACTTTCCAAAGCGAACTTTTTTAAGCTAAGTTCTGCTATAAACATCGTAGGTTAGCTTACATTTATTTAATATTATTTAAAATCAATGATGTATATCGTTTCTATTATGTTCTGATTGATTTTCGCATATTTATAGCAAAACCTCTAAATATTTATAGCATAAAACTCTCTTGCTTTGTCAAGTCTAACTCACCATAAAATTAGGCTTATAAGCCAAGCTTTTCGAATAGTTGTGATGAATGGTTTGAAAAACCGACAAGTTGAAGATTGTGACACTTATGCAGCATATGGGAATCTTTATTCAGGAAACGTTTCGCCACACAGTGGCTTCATCAGTCCAATACAAAGAGGAAGGCGTAAGGAGAGGAGGAGTATGAGGTAATCAGTCCCTCAACCTGGAGTCGATGTGTTCAGTCCATCAATCTTGTAGAATGTACAGCATAGGGCCGTAGACGTGGCTTATATACTGTAGTGAGGTGAGGTGAAGCAGGCGGAGGCGGGGTCATGTGGTACCATCCACTAGTCGAAGTAGGTCTTCGTCCAAGGTTGAACAAGTGTTGAAGAATTCTTTTCGAATAGGCCTAAATCCCTTAATAATTTAACTTTTCCATATTTTTTACAGATTGATAAACATTTTTTCATTAACGATTATAAAAAAAGTTACTTTTTTTTACCATAGGTAAGTACGAACCCTCACATTACCTTACCTAAACTGAATTTTTTTTAATACTTTATCACGTAGAAGATTCGTTTTTCAGCGTTTTTTTATGGATTCAGAGTCGTGGTGGCAGACTGTCCTTAATACCAGTTATGTCTTACTCAGAGTACACTTGCAACAAAGTAAATCTTAAAAAGTTTATTTTAATCCTTATTTTAGGGTTTAAGGTATTCTCAAAGTCTATGTATTCTGAAATATACTTCCTTTAAAAACCACTCTGAGTAACACACTCAAGTAGTATTAAGACAATTAATTAGATGTTCTGCTAGCAGTAACTTTGTTAATACAATAATAAACCAATGTTCTGCTAGCAGTGACTTTGTTAATACAATAATAAACCAATGTTCTGCTAGCAGTGACTTTGTTAATACAATAATAAACCAATGTTCGCTAGCAGTAACTTTGTTAATACAATAATAAACCAATGTTCTGCTAGCAGTGACTTTGTTAATACAATAATAAACCAATGTTCTGCTAGCAGTGACTTTGTTAATACAATAATAAACCAATGTTCTGCTAGCAGTGACTTTGTTAATACAATAATAAACCAATGTTCTGCTAGCAGTGACTTTGTTAATACAATAATAAACCAATGTTCTGCTAGCAGTGACTTTGTTAATACAATAATAAACAATGGTGGGTTATACGTCTCAGTAATAACTGTCTCTTGTCAGTGTTTATTCACCATTAAAACTTATGTACTCTCTTGTGGTATTGTAGAGTACATAAAGCCTTAATAGTTCTATATATTGTTGAGAGATATAAAGCCCAACTAACCTGCCACTTAACTATTATACTATTCAAAAAGTTGCAGCAATAAATGCTTTTGAAAAAAGTTGTAAATATTACTATGACTATAGCAAGGTAATATTCGCCAGAGCTGTATTTAAATAATTTATTTCTAATGACATTTTCAAAGACATTTAAAAACATATAGATAATTTATGGCAATGCAGTTTATAACCTTGTGGACAAATTAATGATGAACAATTTAAATCATAAGTAATGCAAAATATGTAATCCGAAAATAATATTCTATAATTTGTTTTCTTGTGGTGTGGCAGCTCCGTGGTGTGACGACCCACAACACTGCTACGACTACCATGGATGTCCACATCTCCAAAGATTTTGATTATTCATAAGGAAATTCTCCATGGTCTTAAAATAAATTATGACACATTTATATTGGTTATTGTATCTAAGCCATTGTAATGATCTCTCATGTAGGAAGACTACAAGAAAAATTATATACTGCAACATGATACTGAGGTGGAATAATTATGTGAGATTATACAATATTATAAGTAGTAATATAATGTTGGTACTGTATTACATAATGTAACATTAAACTGTCAAAAAAACGTTCTCTGTATTAATGTTAGTACTTTTCCTGAAACATTTGTTCACTACAGATACACCAACTACAGTTTAGATAGACTTATAAGTAGACGGAAAATGACACAAGAATAAGTCACATCATCACTTGGTCACCATAACTTTTCTAAAGTTAAGAAAACATAACCTTATATAATAGGCAAAATTTCTGAGCAGAGAAAAGAAGTTTTTACTTCAGTCCTTTGATGGCAGCACACACAATTTTAAATACTTCCCACGGACAGGCAGCACACAAGTTATACTTTCCACGGACAGGCAGCACACAATGTTTATACTTCCCACGGCGGCAGACACAATGTAACAATATTCACGGACAGAGAAAAATTTATACTTCCCGACAGCAGAACCAAATTATATTCACGGACAGGCAGCACACAATGTTATACTCCCACGGCGTCGACACAAGTAAATCAATATAGTAGACAGAGTAGAATAAATGTATTACGAATAGAAAAAATAAGTGAGGGTCAATAGTTCGCAGTAATAGTAGTAGTAGCAGTAGTAGTAGTAGTAGTAGCAGTAGTATAGTACGAATAGTATAGTAGTAGTAGTAGTAGAGTAATAGTAGTAGCAGTAATAGTAGTAGTAGTAGCATAGTAGTAGTAGTAGTAGCAGTAGTAGTAGTAGCAGTAATAGTAGTAGTAGTAGTAGTAGATAGTAGTAGTAATAGTAGTAGCAGTAATAGTAGTAGTAGTATCAGTAGTAGTAGTAGCAGTAGTAGTAGTAGTAGCAGTAATAGTAGTAGTAGTAGTAGTAGTAGTAGTAGTAGTAGTAGTAGTAGCAGTAGTAGTAGTAGTAGTAGCAGTAGTAGTAGTAGGTAGTAGCAGTAGTAGTAGTAGTAGTAGAGTAAGTTAGTAGTAGTAGTAGTAGTAGTAGTAGTATAGTAAGTAGTAGTAGTAGTAGTAGTTGTAGTAGCAATAGTAGTAATAGTAGTAGAAGTAGTAGTAGTAGTAGTAGAGGTGAAAGGAGGTAAAGTCTCAGATGAGAGAGACAGATTTGGGCTAGAATAAGAAAATCTAACTGGGATCATGTGATAAATGGTTTGAAAACAGAAAAGTCGAAGACTGAGACACTTATGCAACATTTGGGAGATTTTATTCAGGAAACATATCGTCACACAGTTGATTCTTCAGTCCAATAGGAAGCAAAGAGGTGTAAGGAGAGGAGGAGTTTGAGGTAATCAGTCCCTCAGCCTGGAGTCGATGTGCCCAGTCCATCACTCTTGTGATGGTCTGAACACCTTTAGTGTACCTGGATACCCACAGTGCGCCTTGTTACAATCAGTATGCCTGGTAAACCTCAGTGAACCTGGTTACCCTCAGTGCACCTGGTTACCTTTAGTGTACCTAGGCACCTTCAGTGTACCTGGTTACCCTCTGTGTGCCTGATTACCAGTGTACCTGGGTACTCTCAGTGCGCCTGGTTACCTTCAGTGTACCTAGTGGCCCTATTTACTCTCAGAGTGCCTGCTTACCCTCGGTATACCTGGTTACCCTCAATGTACCTGGTTACCTTCGGTGTGTCTAGTTACCCTCAGTGTACCTGGTTGCAATCAGTGTACCTGGTTACAGCGATTGATCCTGGTTACTGTCAGTGAACCTGATTACCTACTGTGTATCTCATTACCCTCAGTGTTCCTGGTTACACTCAGCGTAACTGGTTACCCTTAGTGTACCTGGATACCGTCAGGGTACATGGTTACGCACAGTGTACCTGGTTACATTCATTGTGTCTGGTGACCCTCAGTGTTCCTAGTTTTCCCCAGTACACCTGATTACACTCAGTGAATCTGGTTACCTTCAGTTTACCTGGATACACTCAGTGTGTCTGGTTACTCTCATTGTACCTAGTTACAATCACTGTACCTCGTTACCCTCAGTGTTCCTGGTTACTATCAATGTACTTGGTTACTTTCAGTGTGCCTGGTTATCCTCTGTATACCTGGTTACCCTCAGTGCGCCTGGTTACTGTCAGTGTACCTAGTTACCCTCAGTGTTCCTGGTTTCCCTCGGTGTACCTAATTACCCTCAGTGTACTTGGTTACAATCAGTGAGCCTGGTTACCCTCAGTGTTCCTGGTTACTGTCAGTGTACCTCGCTACAGTCAGTGTACCTGGTTACCCTCAGTGTACCTGGTTACACTCAGTGTACCTGGATACCCTCAATGTTCCTGGTTACACTCAGTGTACCTGGTTACCCTCAGTGTTCCTGGTTGCCGTTAGAGATCCTGGTTACCCTCAGTGTACGTGGTAACCCTCAGTGTACGTGGTTATCCTCAGTGTGCATGTTTACCTTCAGTATACCTCGTTACCGTCATTGTATCTTGCAGCCCTGTCTTCCTGGTTACCATCAGTGTACCTGGATATCTTCAGCGTGTCTGGTTACTCTCAATGTACCTGGTTACAGTCAGTGTACCTGGTTACAGCCAGTGTTTCTGATGACTGTCATTGTACCTTGTTACCCTTAGTGTGCCTGATTACCTTCAATGTACCTGGTTACTCTCAATGTGCCTGTTTACTCTCTGTATACCTCATTACCCCCAGTCTTCCTGGTTACCCTCAGTGTACCTGGTTACCCTTAGTGTACCTACATACCATCAGTGTTCCTGGTTACCCTCAGTGTGCCGGGTTACAATCAGTGTACCTGGAGACCCTCAGTGTTCCTGGTTACTGTCAGCATACATGATTGCCCTCACCGTACCTGGTTTCAATCAGTGTACCTGGTTACCCTCAGTGTTCCTGGTTACTATCAGTGTACCTGGTTACCCTCAGTGTACCTGGTTACACTCAGTGCACCTGGTTACCTTCAGTGTACCTGGTTACCTTCAGTGTACACGATTACTATTAGTGTATCCGGTTACTCACAGAGTACCTGGTTACAATCAGTGTACCAGGTTACCCTCAGTGTTTCTGGTTACCGTCAGTGTACTTGGTTGTCTTCAGTATACCTGGTTACAATCGATGTACCTAGTAACCCTCAGTGTACCTGGTTACCCTCTGTGTACCTGGTTACCCTCAGTGTTCCTGCTAACCCTCAGTCTACCTAGTTACCCTCAGTGTTTCTTGTTACCCTCAGTTTACCTGCTAACGCCTCAATGTCCCTGATAGTTAACCTCAGTGTCCCTGGCTGCCCTAGTGTTCTTGGTTACCCTCGGTGTACCTAATTACCCTCAGTGTACCTGGCTACTCTCAGTGTTTCTGATTGCCCTCAGTGTTCCTGGTTGCCCTCAGTGATCCTGGTTACCTTCATGGTTTCTGGTTTCTCTCAGTGTTCCTGGTTGCACTCAGTGTTCCTGGTTACCTCCAGTGTCACTAGTTGCCATCAGTGTACCTAGTTACACTTATTGTCCCTGGTTACCCTCAGTGTACCTGGTTACCTTTGTGTCACTGGTTACTCTCAGTATACCTGGCTACCCTCGGAGTGCCTATTCACCCTCAGTGTACCAGTGTATCCTCAGTGTACCTGGTTACTCTCAGTATACCTGGCTACCCTCGGAGTGCCTATTTACCCTCAGT